TGTGTTGCCTATGTATCTAAGTATTTCATTTGGGGGAGTTATTGTAAATGGTGCTGTGTTTTTAATCTCAGTTTCCAGTTGTTCATTGCTACCTTATACTAATTTTTATGCAGTGATCTCATATCCTGCACCCTTGCTAGGAATTAGTTCCAGGAATTTTTTCCGTGGTATGCTTCACGTGCACTAGAAAAGAATCTATATTCTGCCATCATTGGGTGGAGAGATTTATAAATTACACTTTGATCTAGCTGGCTGGTGATTTTGTTCAATTTTTTTCTAAATCTGTGCTGATTTTCTCTCTGCTCTCTCCCTGTCTGGGTCAGGTCCACGCACGTGCAGCTCAGAGGACAGCTTAGGCATCTGTAAGCAACTTCTAGGGGTCTCAGTCCCAAGGTCCGCCCCTTTCGTAGTATCTATCCCTGGTAATTTCCAGTCCCCTGGACTCCCCTTTGCAGTCCTTTGGCCAGAAGCCAGGGCTTTGGTTACCTGGTCTGCTGAGTGCTTCCAGTGCTGCGTTCACATCTGGGGTCAAGGGCAAGGGCCACTGAAGAAGAAAAATTTTGCATCTCTGCAGCCTGGCTACTGCCATGGGGTCAATTCCATTGCGGAGCCTCCCGCACGTCCAAACTTCCTAGAGACCAGAGGCACTAGAGAAAGAAAAATCACATGATTTTCCTCGTTCCCTAAGCATTACGACTCTCCTTTCTCCCTAGAAGTCAGGGGACATGGAGCTCTCTCTGGCTGCGTGATGCTTCTGGGTCCCCCACTGCCTTGAGTCTGAACTGGGGATCCCAGAGTAAAAATGGGAAACTCGGCACCACCATTCAGTGGCGATAGGGATTCTGATCTTCTCCAACCCCCCTGTGACTGTTTACTTTTTTGGAGTCCTCAATCAGCCGCCCTGTGCCTTGGTCCAGTCTTTGGAGCTGCCTTCTTTGGAGAGACGGGGTAGAGTGTGCTTCCTCCATTTATCTGGAACCGGAACCCTCTGTTCTATTTCAAGCCATGATCTCCACGAAGCTTTTTGGAACGTTGTGGAAAATCATCGCAAAATAGCTGCTTTTATGAGGTGTTGGATGTGCAAGGCTGGTGGCATGTAGGGTTGGCTCGCTCCAGCCGAGCGTCACAAGAATGGTCAGTCTAAGCCAAAATTCTTTAAAAAAAAGAGCTCACATTCCTCAATTTGGGTTTAATCCTCTGAGTAGCCTGAGAGCTGGAAAATTAGATGGTTTGCCCAGCATCAGGGCTCAGGGGGGACAAGTGTGCCTGTTTTAGTGGACTCACTACCATTAGTTGGCCCTTCGTGCAGCACAGAAGCCTCACAGATGGTCAAAGTTCAACCCAGTCTGTCTAACTGACGCGCTGTGCAGGTGGTCCGTACTGCCTTTCTCTTTAAGCACGAACTGATTTTGTGAAGTTAAGTTCCTCATTGTCACGGAAGTTATGGCTTTTCCCAGTGGGTGGTGTTGGGCCCGATGTAGCGCTATGGATTCTCTCGATGGGAGGGCACCAGTGGCTGGTGTTCTTGGTCGAAGGGATGGAGAGAAGAGAGCCATTTGTTTGTCAAGGGCAATCCCCTGTGTTTCCAAAGGCCATTCCAACTATTGACATCTTCCTTGTCACGTTTCTGCAAAGTAAAGTAATTGTCTTCATTTTAGAAGCCAGGAACCCGAAACACCAATGCTCACAGAAACACCTGTTACCTGCAGAGGAATGGGATAACCCCCACCCTGAGGCGCTGGCAGAGTCTCCCGAGAGCTTAGAACCAGGGAACTTGGATGAATCTCTCTCTAGCCCAAAGACAGAAGACAGTTCTTCTCTGCTTTTATTGAGATATCACGTACATGAATAAAATTCACCCGATTTCAGTGTACAGTTAGATTCGTTTTGGCAAACCGTCTCTCGAAACCGGATGTAGAACATTTCCATGAACCTAGAAAGTCCCAGTGCCCCTTGGCAGCCAGTCCCCTCCCCCGCCCCCACCCCAGGCCGCCCCACCCCCGCTTTTGCAGGGCTCTTATCACAGGCCCCTGCGGTGTCTCTGCTTCCTGTGCCCAGGGTGCTCCCACCCACTCATCCTGCAGGTCCCTTCCCCTGAGACCAGGTCAGGTGACTGAACCCCTCAGACCAGGTCAGGTGACTCTTTTCTTGTGTCCCACCCCCCATTCCAGTTCCTGTCACAGGTAGTGCTGTGTGATGAGTCTGCCCAGCTCATTCCCTGTTACACCTGAATCACCTGAGGGGGACCCTGTATTATTAGCCTGGTATCAGCCCTTGGGGGTTGGGGGCTTAGGAGTCCCATGTATCTTTTTTTAAATTTTATTTATTTTAGGGGCGCCTGGATGCCTCAGATGGTTAAGCCTCTGCCTTCGGCTCAGGTCATGATCTCAGGGTCCTGGGATTGAGCCCCGCATCGGTCTCCCTGCTCAGTGAGGAATCTGCCTCTCCCTCTCCCTTTGCCCCTCCCCCCTGCTCATGCTCTCTCTCATGCTCTCTGTCTCTCTTTCTCTCAAATAAATAAATAAAATCTTTTTTTTAAAGATTTTATTTATTTATTTGAGAGAGAGAGAATGAGAGAGCACATAAGAGGGGGGAGGGTCAGAGGGAGAAGCAGACTTCCTGCCGAGCCGGGAGCCCAATGTGGGACTCAATCCAGGGACTCCAGGATCATGACCTGAGCCAAAGGCAGTCACTTAACCAACTGAGCCACCCAGGCGCCCAATAAATAAAATCTTTAAAAAAATTTATTTATTTGAGAGAGAGAGAGAATGCAGGAGGGGAGGGGCAGAGGGAGAGGGAGAGAGAGAATCTCAAGCAGACTTCGAGCTGAGCGCAGACTCTGATGTGGGGCTTGATCCCACAACCTTGAGATCATGACCTGGACCAAAACCAAGAGTCAGCTGCTTAACCTACTGAGCCACCCAAGCACCCCTAGGAGTCCCAGATATCTTTAACTCCCTCTTTCCTCTTTTACTTTTATGTTTTCCTAAAAGTTGTCATTAATTTTGTTTCCTCGATGCTACACAACTGGGGACAGCAGCTGCTGTCTGGTCATACTGGGGACAATGACTAGAACAAGTTGGGAAGAGGATGAGGTAATTTGTCAAACAGCAAAATGCATTTTTTCTTAGAGTAGATCTTGCTTGTTTTCACCATTGTGCCACTGGCATTTTCCAGGTTGTAAAAGAACACAGTGCAGATGGGGGTGGGGGCAGACACCAGTCTTCACCCCAGTGGGAACTCCACACCCCCTTGGGAAAACACGCATCTTCCTTCTTACCCGTGTGGGCACCTCCCAATGAATGGGCGTGGTGAGGCTCATCTCTGAGGTGTCAGAGGCAAAAGGACATAAGAATGGCATCAATCAGGGGCGCCTGGGTGGCTCAGTCTGTTGAGTGTCCGATTTTCGGTTTCAGCTCAGGTGCTGATCTCATGGGCTGTGGGATCGAGCACCATGCCAGGCTCCATGCGCAGTGCAGCATCTGCTTAAGATTCTCTCTCCCTCTCACTCTGCCCCCCCCCACGTGCGCTCTCTCTCTCTCTGTCTCTCTCTCTCAAATAAATAAATCCTTAAAAAAAAAAAAGGGGGGGGCGCCTGGGTGGCTCAGTCGTTAAGTGTCTGCCTTCGGCTCAGGTCATGATCCCAGGGTCCTGGGATCGAGCCCCGCATCAGGCTCCTTGCTCCGCGGGAAGCCTGCTTCTCTCTCTCTCCCACTCCCCCTGCTTGTGTTCCCTCTCTCGCTGTGTCTCTCTGTCAAATAAATAAATAAAATCTTAAAAAAAAAAAAAAAAAAGAATGACCCCGATCAGAAGCTTTTATCAAATGCTCCACTGAGCATGATCCTATATGGGACATCGTCCAATCTCAAAACCTGAAAAACTTCTGCCTTGTCATCTAAGTGTTCCTAAACAGCGCCCGACAGACCAGGGACAAAGCTAAATGAATCTCAACCACAGACTCGAGAAGCCAAACATTCAAAATTATGTACAAATAAGGAAAAGCAACACTTAATTTAGGGTTGTCAATTATACTCTATTAGCTGCGGCTAATGATGTCCCTATGCTAGACAACAGTCTGAGAAAAGCACAGGACTGGGTTCACCAGCGTCCAGCACACAGCATGATGCCCGACACACGTTTGCATTAAGCATTTTCGTGAACATGATCTGATTTAATCTTCATAGCAATCCCATTTCACAGATGACAGAACTGAGGGGCAGAACACATTAAAGAGGCACATGGTGGGAATACATCTGTAAGAGAGGTATAGGGCTGCAAACGGGCCCAATTTGGCCCAAACTCTTCTTTCCTCTGGCCAGCAGGATCCAAGAAAATGTGTTCTGATGCTCAAGGATAGGACAGGAATGGACTCTGTGGTGCCTGCGGCCCGGGTCCCTACCGGGCACAAGTGTTTCACTCCCCTGTGATGCGTTGGGTCTGTGATTCTGCCTTAACCTCCTCAGCTCTTGGTGACTCGCCTGGCCTGGAGCCCCAGAAGCTCAGCCCAAAAGGGGCATGGAACAGGTGGAGTGTGATGGGTTTCTACAGCTTGCTGCCCACATTCCACCAGTCTGGCCTCAAGGTGATCGTGCGCTTGGTGGGCGGCCTCCCTTGTTTTCAGCAATTCTCTCACCCTGGTTCCTAAGTCTGCAGCTCGGGCAGCCCCCGGACCCGAACACAGCTAGTGCATCCGGGCGAGCCGTTGTAAAGTGCCCCAAAATTGGACACAGTTCATGTTCAGGCTCAGGCTTCTATTTTCCTAAATAAGTAAAACAAAAACAAAAACAAACCAAAAAAAACTTCAGAGTAAAAATGAGCCCTCCAAATTTTGTGGGGAAAAAAAAATCTAATGAGCATTTACCTCCCCAGAGTGACTCTTCCCTGAATGAAGTTTCTCCCCTGAGTGACTCACCCCTGAATGAAGGCAGAAACTTCATATGAACTCAAAATGATCAGGATCAGAGAGTTCTTTCCTTTGCACACCCACGCTTCCCCGAAACATGCGCGACAGCGTCCTGCACTGGCCAGGTCCTTCAGGGCCAGTGGACAGGCAAGGTGACGTGGGAGTGCCCCTCCCACGTCCCTACACACTTTCCCTCAACGCCTGAAGCCTTGCAAAGGGACCACCACCACTCCCAGGCCAGCCCTTCCGGATAAAGATAACTGGGTGGCAGGAGGGGGGAGTTATTCAATTTAACAGATATTTATTGAGAACTGCGAAACACTTAGGACATTGAAATAAAACAGGGAATATCCTCGTTTCTGAAAAATTCTGCTCTGGGCTGGGGGGCTGGCTACAGTCAGTGAGCTCTCTGCTATTTTGCCAGGAATGTACGAGATCACTGAGCACTTCCAGCAGGTAAGAAAGTCACTCTTCTCCTCCGCAGGGAACAGTTAGGGGCAGGGGATGGAGCCTGGGCCCTGAGAGTGACAGCGGCCCCGCTTACCATCTAAATGACTTTGATCAAGTCAAACTGCTACCTCCAAGCCTCAGTTTTCTTACCTGCAAAATGGGAAAATAGTGCCTACTTTCCAAAGATGGCTGTGACCATGACATCACTAGGCCTCTATGTCCAGCCCTCATCCCCTCAGCTTCCTCGGAACCAACACTGGACACAGACGTGACCACCGCATGAGAGGACACGATCCAAGATGGCAGTTCTCACCTTGGCTACACAGGGGGAGCTTTCAAAAACCCGGATGACCGGGCCACACCGCAGCCTGCTAAAATCAGACTCCCTGGGGATGAAGCCCAGGCATCCGGTTTTCGCAAAGCACCCCAAGAGATTCCAGTGGGCAGCCAAGGTCAACAGCCACTGAGCCAGAAGGAAAGAGAAGTGGAATTATTTCATCTCTATAGAAAGTTGGGGGAGGTTATTACTACTCACTGTTAATTATAGTATTATGCCCTGTACAATTTGAGGTTTACAAACTACACAAAGTTATATTTATTCAGAAATTTATACATTGCTAAATAGTTTCACATTCATGATCAAATTTCATCTTCAGAGAAATTTTTTTTAAAGATTTTATTTAGTTACTTGAGAGAGAGTGAGTAAGAGAGAAAGAGCACAAGCTGGGGGGAGAGGCAGAGGGAGAGGGAGAGGGAGAAGCAGGCTCCCCGCTGAGCAGGGAGCTGGGTGCCGGGCTCCATCCCAGGACCCTGGGATCATGACCTGAGCCGAAGGCAGACGCTTAACCGACTGAGCCACCCAGGCGCCCCTTCAGAGAAATGTTAAAGCTGAGAAACTGGAGTCCTGGAGAATTTATTGACAAGCAGAAGGTGTGTCAAGTAAATGGACAAACACGTCCAGAGTGAAGGTCTGGCTTGACATCCTCTCTCCTTCCACCCCGCCCCAGCAACCCCCAGTGATCTCTGCTAGGGAGCTGTGGTCCAGACCTGCACACTGAGCGCCAGACCCTGGGCCAAGATGTCCCCCAAGTATTCCCTCACCCCCCCAACCCCCACCCCACCCCCCCGGACGTTAGCATCCAGGCAGCTCAACCTGCCCAGCACTGCTCAGGGCCCCTCCCCAGAGCCCCCTCCTCTGCTGTTTCCCATCTGTGCACAGGCACTGAAGTCTCCATCGGCACCCCCGCCCCCGCATTTGGCGGGTGGAGTTGGCCACCCCCAAGATGCCCTGTGAACCCGTCCACTTTCCATTAACCTGGCCTCTGCCGCCTGGTCACAGCCTGTCCCCGGACATTTCCAATAACCCACTGCTCCTCCCCCTGCACCCCTCGCCCCTCCAGTCCCTGCTTCTGGCCTGTCCGCTGGACCCACTGAGGTCTGGAAGTTGCGCAGTTTCTTCGTGTAAAACAGCGAGCATTCTTGAGTGTCTGACAGGTAGAGCCCCCTACAAAGCGCATGCACTCACGCGCGCACCCCAAAGCGGCCTGCTCCCCGTGCGTCAGACACGGGGACCACTTTGTGTGACAAACCCCTTCAGCGAAGGGCTCGAAAACATTCAGAAGTATGCGGTCTGCCTTCTGCATCGCGGGACCACAGGCAGGTTCTGCAACTCCTCACACGTCTCACCCCTAAAATGAGGACGGGAGCGCCCACTCACGGGGATGCAGGGATAACGAAACGGCCCGCGCACCCAATGCCTGGCGGGCAACACCTGCTGATGGAAAGTTGAGAAGGCCGATGCTTCTCAGATGGGAGAAAGGGGGGAGGAAGGCAGGCCAGAGGTATTTGCCGGCTGCCCCTACACCACGCTGAGCTCCGAGGGAGCGTCTGCATTGGCGTCACTGTATCCTGGCAACAGGCGGGGAGACCGTGACGTCATCCCCCGGGTGAGGCTCAGCGGCTGGCCAGGGCTCGCCTCAAATGCATGGCAGGGGCTGGGTTCGCAGAGTCTGTACCCTCCAGGGTCTGAGGGAGCGTGTTCCACGGGGTTCGACGGACATCTCCTTTTCCAGGGGATGAACAATCAGTACGTCCGCCGGGAGGTCTTCTGCGGGAACACCTGTCACGAGCTCAAGCGCTTCTGGGAGCGCGAGATCCGCAAGCAGACCTACTACCGGGAATCCGAGGAATACCGACTGGGAAGAAGTGCTCTGAGAAAGTATGTGGCGCCTTTTCTACCTTTTTTTAAATTAGTTTTTAAAAATAGACTTTATCTTGGGGGCGCCTGGGTGGCTCAGGCGGTTAAGCATCTGCCTCTTGATGTCGGCTCAGATCAGGATCTCAGGGTGGTGAGATCCAGCCCCCCAGTCGGAGTCAGCTTGAGATTCTCCCTCTCCTTCTGCCCCTCCCCCCTCATGCACGTGTGCACTCTCTCTCAAATAAATAGTCTTTAAAAAAAAAATAAAAATAGACCTCATTTTTAGGGCAGTTTTAGGTTCACAGCAAAATTAAGCAGGAAGTAGAATTCCCATATATCCCACCCCCCACACACACAACCTCCCCACCATCAACATCCCCACCATGAACGCACATGGACACAGCATTTACCACGCTTGTCTTTTTGGTTTTGGTTTTGGTTTTTTTTTTTTTTTTAGAACAAAACTGATTTTCCCTGAAGAATGCCAGATGGGCATCTTAGAGGACGTAATTATTTCCATTTTTCTTGCATATGTTCCTGCACCACCTCTAGTAGACAGTAATTTTAAACATTCTTCCACCTTAACAAATGGACACTTTGATTCATATCTTTATAAATGGAAAAATCTCTCCTCTCTGTCACTGTTTCTAGGGCTTGAGGGTTGCACTAAATTGGGCAAGCAGGTCCTCAGATGTGTCTGTGAAAAGCAGCCAAGCCAAGGAGACAGTGACCGATGCTCAGTGCTTGTTTGAGTGAAGACACAGGATGCTCCGCGGGGTTCTCTGAGGGAGGCCGTCACCCCTCTGCTGCGAATCCCTGCTGGGGCCCGCACGCCCGTCTGCCCCCTGCAGAGAGTAACGCGCTGGGCAAACTGGGGTTGAGAACAGTGGCAGCTCACCACTCTCACACACGGCCTCCACTTCGGGGAGCCAGTGAGGGACGGGCCCCTCTGGGTCCTCTGTCCCCTCATGGAACAGCTCGGCTGTCTGCAAAGGGCACAGCTGGGATGGTGGGACAACTGTGTGCTGGCCCGATGGCAGGGGCCGTGACTCCAGGCTGCCGCCGGTACATGCTTGCTGGGCTGATGATATGCACCAGTTCACACCACTGAAACTCACAGCTGCCTTCCAAATGCCCTCCTGAGCCCTAGAGGGAACCGGCCTCTTCTACACGTGGAGAACTGCTCGGCCATATTCCTGGCCCCAGGCGAGGAGAAGCAGGCTGTCCTGGCTGCTGGAGGGTCGTGTTAGGGAGTGTCCCCCAGGGACTGTCCGAGAAGCTGAGGGGGACGGACGGTCGGTCATTTCTGTGGTCCCTGCCCTCTCCCTTCCCCAGGCCAGGCCACTCAGCATGCTGCCCTCGCTCTGCATATGTGTGTCCCCCAGGGATTACACAGAAGGTCTCCAGTACAGTGGAACTGCTTGAAGAGGATGCAGAAAGTGAGGGCACGCTGAGGGGTGAGCAAATCAGCTCCAAAACAAACTGCAGTTCGTTAAAACATGAAAATATATGGGCACAGTGTCCATCTCTGCATTTAGCAAAAGACTGCAGGAAATAAGCTTTCTAGCTGGTGGGACAGTGAGACTCGAACTTATTTATCCTTCTCCCCCTCTTCCCATTTGAAATGCATGCCCCTCTCTGGAGGGTCTCTGATCTTACCCACTACTCCATCTAGTCCCTGCACCAGATGGAGAAGACAGTCCCAGTTCATTAGGTGGTTCCGAGGCTGGGACAGGAAAACATGCCTAAGGTCAGTTCCCCTGCGTCCTGCACTCGGCCACTTAGTCCAGGATTGAATGTAACAGAGGCAGAATGCCAGGGAACGGCCCAGCCCCTGCGCTCTGGGTGAGTTGGCAGATTCCCTGTGCCTTGGGTTTCTCCTTGTTACTTTTACCATGGACACTAAGAGGAGAGGGCTGTTGGAGAGTCCCTGACCTCCATCAGACTGAAGCGGGTGGTCAGTAGAGTTGTTCGAGTGTTCCATGGCCTGACTGATGTCTTGCCTGAAATGTGGGTGTTGAAATCTTCAGCTGTAACTGCGGATTTGTCTATTTCTCCTTACAGCTCTGTCTCATTTCACTCCGTGTATTTTGAAGCTCTGTTTTTATACAAGTGTTTAGGATTGTTATATCCTCTTGATAAATTGATCCCCTTATTGCAAAACGACCCTCTTTCTCTTTGGTAATGTTCTTGCCTTTGAAATCTACCTTGTCTGACTTTACTACAACCATTCGGCTTTCTTTGATTGGGGTTAAGATGGAATATTTTCCCATCCTTTGCTACTACAGGATTTTTGTTCCCTTAGTGCCCAAGGTTCTTGGTCATGGCACTTTGAAGAATGAAGAGGTAGACCAGATGAAGAGTGGTGGGTAGCAAAGCAAAGTTTATTGAGCGATAGCACAAGGCTCTTGGAGAGGGAGGGGACTTGAGAGGGTTGCCATTTTGGCATTCAAATCTAGGGGGTTTTATAAGCTCTTTCAAGGAACTATCTTGAGCATCCTGAGTGTGGACTCCTGCGGACTGGCCACTAAGGTGTGCCCCAATCAGGGCTTTGATCATGCACCTGTCTACCTCTCGGGTTATTGTTCCCGTGTTGCTGGTCTTTTGGGCTGCCATCTGGAGATGAACTGCCTCACCTTGTGATAGTGACCAATGTTTTACGGTTCATTGTTTTGTTTCAGGATGTTTTGCAAAAGTCACTCCTGCAGAGGCTGCTGGACAGGATGCTGTCGTGGTCTTGTCAAAGCTGCAAAACAGGACGCTAGGGCAGTTTTGTCTGAGCTGTCCCAGCTTTTTTTTTTGCTTTCTTGTTGGGGAGCCTGGCCCTGACTCCTTAAGTGTCCAATTAACTCCAAACACTTTTAATTTTAACCTATTGCCAGCTTCATATCAAAAGTGATTTTCCGGGCGCCTGGGTGGCTCAGTTGGTTAAGCGACTGCCTTCGGCTCAGGTCATGATCCTGGAGTCCCTGGATCGAGTCCCGCATCGGGCTCCCTGCTCGGCAGGGAGTCTGCCTCTCCCTCTGACCCTCTCCCCTCTCATGTGCTCTCTTTCTCATTCTCTCTCTCTCAAATAAATAAATAAATAAAATCTTTAAAAAAAAAAGTGATTTTCCTGCAGGTGACATCTATTTCAATACTGGTTTTTATTCAATTTGATGATCCTGCATTTTAATTGGGTGGCTCATTAATGCTAACTGGTGCGATTGGGTTTAAATCTGCCATCTTGCTATTTGTCTCCTGGTCTCTCATCTGTTCTTCATTCCTTTCTTTTTCTGCCTTCTTTGGGGTTAATTAAATATTTGTCATGATTTCATGTCATCTCCTCTGTTGGCTTTTCCAGGATATCTCTTGGTGTTATTTTAGGGGTTGCTTTAGGATCTCTGTCACGATGTGCCTTCTAGTGCCACATGGTCCCCTGTAGGGCATGAGAGGCTTCCAGTGGTGGAACCCCACTGCTCCCCCTTTGGCCTTTCTGCTTCCAGACATGTCATAAACCCCACACAGCATCATTAACAGGTTTGCTTTCAGACACTGATTACCTTTTAAGGAGAGTCAAGTTGTGAGGGAAAATTACTAATATACCCACGCAGTCGCCTTTTCAGGGGCCCTTCCCTCCATCATGCAGATCTCGATTTCCATCTGGTGTCATTATCCCTCCACTTGACGGATTTCCTTTAACTTGTCCTGTAGGGACAGGCTGTTGGTGACAAATTCTTTCAGTTTTTGTATGACTGGGGGCATCTTTATTTCACCTCTGTTTTTGAAAGATAGCTTGGCCAAGTAAACAATTCTAGATGGACAGAGGTTCCCCCCCACCCTGTACTTTTTTTTTAAGGTTTTTTTTCTTCACTTTATTATTATTAGGACGTAATTATTTCCATTTTTCTTGCATATGT